TCAGGGCAGTGTGAGAAGCAGAATGCTGTATATTGCTGTATAATTGCTGTTCAGCAATAGCTAAAACATCCCTGTGTTATCAGCATGGGTTTGGTCACAAATCCAAAACATAATAGCCTGCAAGATGCTAGGAAGAAAATTAACTCCATTCCAGCCAAAGCCAGTACAGTATCTGAAGAGGTGACATCCCTTGAAAAGGTCTTTGGTAACCTGCCTTGTTTGGCCTGTAGGCCCAGCAAATAAATTACATGTAATCTGCTTCACTAAGAGACATAAGAAGATGTTGGCTAGACTCTGTAAAGGTGTGCAGCGCTCACATCCCTGTGCTAACTCTTACATTTACCAACCGCAGCACAGCGCTTCACAGGCTCAGGGTGCCAAAGTTGTAGCCACATTGGCACAATGCTGTGCCTGAGCTAACAGACACCATGGGTAATTAAGGTAACGACCATCAGTGCTGCTCTGTGCCGAGAGCATCTCTCCAGGTGTCGCACAGGCACAACACTCTCTGCACGAAGCGCTGCTGGGCGGTGCGGGCAAGGGAAACAACAGCACAGGGGCAGGTGTCTGTGCATTTCAGCCCTGCAGAAAAGCACAGAGGACCACAGAGTCTGAAATGTTGTTGTGTACCTAAAGTGGGAAACAAACCTGTAAAAGAGATTTACATGTACATTCCTTATTATTCTGCCTGGAGCAGCTTGGCTCCATTCCTGCGATTGTTCACCATTCATTTGCCAACCCACACAATCAAAGAGGTTTTCACTGGCAGAGGTGTCTCCACAAACAACTCTTCAGAGTTTTTTTTAAATAGCACAGTTCCTGCCATGTGCTGGAGCAGTTTCTGAACCACCCTCAAGCACAGTGATGTACCAAATAATTTTAAACTGAACACCACAGCGTGTAGTAAATTAACAATTTCCTAACACAAGTTCTGTGTTTCCACAAACCCCCATTTCTTAAATACATCTAGCTTACGATTTTTTGTTAAGGCTGCTGCTTGGGCAAGATTCTTTCTAATCAGTTGGCACTAGTGAAAAGGTTACATTGTACATATGTTTTTTCCTTCTGTATATTATTTATTCAGCTTTCTAGCTCCCAGGTGTCAAGAGAAACCTGGCAGATCACCTGGGAAATGATATCTTAGTATCAGACAAATTTAGGGACAACTGAACTTTAAAAGACAGAAATAAATACAGTTATTGTACTTTAAATGCTTTCTGTCAAAATTTAATTAATGAATTTTCATGAACAGATTTGCAACAGAAAATTCTGCTGTGGGTTAGAAAGCACACATGTATTGGTAGCATCTCTCTCTATTTGCTCTCCACCCCACCATCCCCAACAGTATCTTGACACCAAATGCTACAGATTTAGGCCCAGGTTTTCAAAACAGTTAATTATACAAATAGTTCCATAACAGAGGCACTTGCAGGTGGATCAGGTTAAATGCTTTAACGATATGGTTTTGTTTTTTTCTTTGCATTTGTAGAGGTAGGCGATGCTGCCTCCTGGGTATCCTCATCAAGAACCCAGGAAGCTCAGGGAGATCCCATTTGGAGGTTTTGCACAGTTTTTCTCCAAGTTTTTCCTTTATCTAGGTGTTAGAATCAAGATCCCCAAAGTGCTTTCCAGACCTTTTGTGATCTCCACAAAAAAATGGACTGTAAAATTCAATGATTCACGAACCACTTCCTTTTCCCCCATAGTACAGTCTTTCATTTGTTCAAAGCTTTCATGCTGTTCTCAAGTTCAAAGAGTCATGAACATTTTAATTTTTAATCACCCGTTAAAGAAAGCACTAAAAGATCAAGGCCAGAACCACACATTCTTCTGAACTCACAATGAACAGCTGCACACCATCTTTTTAAAATTTTTCTTTTATTTCTGAACATTTCAATAACAAAGCTCTTAGGAGACAGTCAAAATCTACTCAACTGCTTTACTCCCCACCTGCTGATTTTAAATTATTCAAAGTAAATAGAAATAACTAAGATTCTGAGTCAGCAGAATTGCACAGTCACCTTGTGCCAATATCAATCGATGGCATAAGGAAAAAGCCTTGGAAAAAACAGGAACAAAACATTTGTCGCATTTTTTCATCTAGCTTTTCAGAAGAACTGGACTCAAGTGTCTCTCCAAGCAGTCTTGCCTAAAAGTAGTCACAAACATTATTATGAATTTCTATGTTACTATCCTTTCAAAGTGTATGGAAGGAACATTCTGTTCGAAAAAGTGCTGCTCCTCCTCCCCATCCCTCAATCACACCAGATCTTATTTAGTCATGTAAATCTGAGGTTGTGTCTTCCCACAAGGTGTCACCATAGATTAACTTCACTGTAGGTCTTTATCGAAAGAATTTATATTTTCAGTTTTTAAGATATAAATAAAACATTAAGATTCTCTAAGTAGTACTAAAAGCATCTATTAAAGTACATAACTTTGTAATGAAATAGATGCAATTAAATAAAATTACAACGGAGTAAAGTGACATCTATTTTTTGAAGTTGCATAAAAAATCAAGAAACTGGAAAAGACTTTCCCATTTATTTTGCCTACTACAAAAACAACTTCAAAGCTTCCAAGGACATTTTCATTTCACCAGTGTTCAGTGATTAGTTTCATATTATGATCACATCACATTAGGAATCCTCTCTCTCCTAAGCACTGGATTTGTCCACTAAGAATCCTTGTATGTTACAGATAAAATTTCATCTCTGCTCTTAACTGTGTTCTTTAAAGGTGAACCTCTGCTCACATGGGGTCCTAGAAAAGCCAGAAGTGAGGTCCTTGTGAGTAGAAGAGCTTGTCCTTGCCCTTTTGTTATCGAGACTGAGATACAGTTTCAATGGCTTGCTATTTCTTCTGCGTATGTTTTCTGTTCATTTGATTTGGATGGTAGAAATAGAGAAGCTTTTGTAAGTTAAAGGCAGTATTTTGCAACTAAGCATTTGTCCTCACCTGCTTAGCACTGTGGTGTCTGGGTTAGAAACCACCACAAGAGAAATGTTTAAGTCCCCAAACCCTCTCTCCAACATGCTCTAAAGTTTAATTCATTGCATTCACTGAAGTAAAATTAATTGGAATGCATCTGTACGGCGGGAGGAGGGAGAAAAAGTATAGTGGGATTTTGGTTCAAGTGTCTTAGCAATCTGTCTGTTAAATATATTTAGTTTGCAAATAGTGTTGTTCATGCTCCGTGGGCATTTGATTAGATGCCAAGATTGGGTGAGCTGGTTGAATCCTTCCCCCATGCCCCCACCTTTAAGAAAGTTCCTACCAGAGAGAGGCACTTCCCCAGCCGTGTGCTTCTCGCATCTCGACACCTGCCTCTAGGGCAGCCTGCGTGCACTCATTTTGGATGGGAACTTGATGGACAATAACAGGATTAGAATGCATAAACTGACTTCTAGTAACATTATTTCTGCAGACCAAAAGGAGTAAAAAGCAAAGAGAATTATTTCATTGCTATGTTGTACACAGTGGAAGTGGCATAGGAAAGGAGATGATGCTGTTCTTACATGTTACTTTTCACAACAAACCCACCCTGACGATATTTCTGATGCCATTGTGTGAAAAGAGAGATGTCATTTAGTATTTTATTTTGGTGTTTTAAAAGAAGACCCATATTCTTAACCCAAACTGGTATTTGCAGCACAATCTAGGATTAATATATAAGAGCATTATGGGAAAAAAACCCCCCATGTTATTTCTAAAAAGCTAGAGCAAAGTTTCTCATGAAAGCACTTGAAACTTTATGACACTAATTCTTTAAAAATGACCACTGCTTTAAGTGGCTTTAAAGACTCCTGTTCCTGAAGGAAGTTTCCTTTTCTTCTTCCTTGCCAGTTAGTGCCAACTCCATACACCACAGGCGGGTGCATCATGTAACGAGAAGAGCACAGGTCTCACCTACCTCTCCTTACCTGACTCTGGCTCCAGCCCCAGGCAGGCACTGTGCCATCATGCCACGCTCTCATGGAGCAGCAGACATTTTCCTTTCCTGTGTGAACTGGAGCACCACTGTCGCTCCCACCCATCCTTATCTTCACCTCGGCTTTTGTTTCGTTCTGGCCAGCCTCCATGCCTGGGCCACCATGATCAGGACGTCCCCTTATGCAATATGGTTGCATGGACATGGGCCCCACTGGAGGAGAAAGGCTCTCCCGGTGACTTGCCTGCATTTCTTCTCACGTAGAGAGGAGGGATCAGTCCCAAGGCTGGAACAACTCAAAAGCCTGAAAGTGAATAGGCTGAAACCTGGGACACAGCCTGCAAAAACTGTCTCAAAAGGCAACTTTTCAGAGGTGAGGGACAATGGTAGCATGGACTATAACAAGTACAGTTGCTACCACATGTTAAAGCAGAGCCAGGTCCCTATCCAGAGGCTGTATCCCTAGGGGGAGGTTGACCCAGAAACACACACCAATGCCTGCACAACCCTGATACCAGACACAACCAAACCCTGGTCAGAGATGGGACCGTCTCTCACATGGGGGTTTCAGTCTGGTGTGACAGCTTCTCAGATGACACCTGTCCTATGGCTTGTAATTGTTTGATGAAATCAGAGCAAATCACACCAAAAGCAACAGCTTTAACAGAGCGGAAAGCCCCACGGGAGCACTGTGAGGTGGGAGCTGACTCCTCTGTGGGCATTGAGCTTGAGCCTCCCAGGGGCAACCAGGGATGTGCCATTCCCAGGGCCAGATCCTTGACCTGTGCCACCCTCATTGCCTCGCTGTCCCTATTTTCCCCTCCCTTCCCATTTGGATAGGTTCTTTGGTGAGGAAACAGGGTGCCCAAAGGGGCTGCTTTCCACCAACAGAGAGTCAGGCTTGACCCTGCGGCTGGGGCTAAGCCCGGCCTAAGGGAGCAGGCGGTGTGGTGGGGGAGCCTTGCTGGTTTCTGTTAGCGTGAATGAGTGCAGAGATGTTTCTCCCTCCCTCATCACCTTGCTCTTTCCCTGTGTGCTGATTTTCTTGTATTGTATGGCCCTTTCTCAGATAAACCTCTGACTCACAGCCCTCCCTGAAGACCACAGAGAAGCCTTGCCACTGCCTTCAAGGTTCAGTGCAAAATCATCCCTCGCCACACCTGGCCCTCTCAGCTGACATCAAGTGCATGACAGGGCAAGATGCAGTGGAGTAACCAAGCCATGATCTTCTCAGCACTGCAGTGGCATCCTGCTCCCCTGGAGCAAGAAGAGGCAGTGATGGCACTTTGAGTTTTTACCTTTTTGCGGTGCTGCATCAATAGCCACCCATCTCCCTTCCTTGCATCCCCTGATATCTAAAGAGCTCCTGACTTCACCCTAGGGCATTTGATTTTCACTTTAATAATACAACGTTGTCAGAGAAACAAGAGCTCAAGCAACTTCACCAGAGCTGGAAAGTCAAAATGATTCATTTCAGGTGCAAGACCAAGCTACCAAATCTCCACACCCACAGATAAGGGTGGTTGCCAAACACCTCTCAGACCCAAAGCCTGAATGTTGGATGGGGTCTACCCCATGCCCTGATGGCTAATGGCACATATGTGGGGATATGTCAAGAAGGATTAGGGAGATGAAGAGTGAAAATGAAAATGTTTTCAGTCATGCTAAGAGTGAAAAAGAAACTTCATTTTTTTTCCATTCATTGAAAGAAACACTTGTGCTTTTTCAGAGTTAGTTATCTGAGACGATAACTAGAAAGGAAAATTATAAAGAAATACAGACTGTGGAAAGGCATATTCCTGTTTGTACATAAAATTTTAGGTCTATGTTCCCTTAATTAAACAAATCACCAAGAGAAGAACTGGAGACCTTTCAGGTGACCTCTCCGGTTGGTGTGTCACCATTTATACAATTTGGCATAGAACAGCACAAAGCAAAGCTGTTTTCCTGTGAGTTCCATCTTAAGAAGTGTTCAGCAGTTAGAGTTGCTCACATCCCAGTTTTGTCACCAGTACAGTTACACAAGGCGTCTTTCTTTGTCCCAGCAACAGTAAAGCAATCACTTCAGTTTTCTTCAAAAAGGAAACATTTAGTCCATTTGCTATATGGATCACTCAGGAATTGCTGAATGGGGAGCTGTTGTGATAGAAAATGGATCCCCCTTTGTAGAAGAAGTAAATAAATAGTCAGTGTGGTATTCATGCTCGTGAAACTGACAGTGAACAGGAAACCCAGTGGCTTTAGGTAGATCTGGTCTCCTCTTTGGGTAGGAGATGGCTTTTTTCAGTCCCAGTTTCTCTGCTTGTCTGAAAATATCCAAGTGCATGAAAAAAAGCAATTCTTACTGGATGTATTTTGGTCTTGGAAAATGCAACATTGTCTACTTTAGTGCCTTTAGCAGTGGAATTTATAATAAGGTAGTTCTGTACTTAATAAATGTACTCTCAGAAAAGATTAAAGGATGCTTTTTTCACTACCAGAAGACAGAACAGTTATTTCTCACTTGCAGGCCAGTTCTTAGGTTCCTTCTTCTCAGCCACTGAAATAAAAACAAAATTCAGATACCAAACTCAGAAGTGTTTTTCCATGCTTTGACAACTCAAGGGAGGGTATTTCCCACCCTCTGTAAGTCTTCTGGATGAATCACTGGACTGTGATGATCTGTAACCTGTCTTTGGCTCATTTTTGACAACTGCAAAGGCAGCCTTCTAATCTTCCATGATACCATTCCTCCAATTAAACGCTGCATTTGCTCCATGAGTTAACGTCTTCACTGGTGGGTTGACCATCTGCCATTTATTCTCCTCTTTTAGCTCTTCGCAGAAACACATGCCCAGAGAAGGGATCTGGGAAAGAAGTTACCAGCAGAGTTACTAGCAGGGTCATTGGTTTGACATGAGAGGGGTTTGCTACAGAAGAGAGCAGACCCTGACACTGTTCTGGGAGCAGACACCAGGACATTTTGCCACTTCTGAAATGAACTAAAAACAGACTGGAGGCCTGTGGGGTAAAAGCTGAACTTGTGTCATCACCCCACATTCATACTTAGATTTGATGATCAAAATATATTCAGTCCTTCTTATGCATTGACAGTGGTTGTAAAAATATATCTAAAGATTGAATTCTCTGTTTGATCATACCAAGACAGATGGTAAGGAAAACTGAGGTGAAGAATTCTGCCACTGGTGATAATACACAAATAAACAAAAAACCTTGGTGACCAAGTCTCAAGCGCAGGCCTCACTTGTGAAGAGGGGAAGAAAACCCTTCTCCACGTCATTCTGTAACTGAGTACCAAAGGTGTGAACTTATAGTGACCCAAAAAACACAGCTTCTTAAAGAGTGACTCATTGAATGTAGCTGCAGGTTACACTCACAACATCATGGGGAGGAGAGGGAAAATTCTCAGCCTTGTTTCTAAAGGAAAGAGGCTACCTCCAGATGGAGAGGTTTCCAAATGTGCCTCTTGTCTGTAGGTGTTACCTGGCATTGACTTTCCAGGAAAGTTGGATGAAAATCTTCTCCAAAGACTTAGCTGCTAGACACACACTGTTCACCAGGAGAAAATCTTTCTCTTGACCTCCAGTGCTTTGCTAAAACTACATGAGATTCCTTCATAATGAGAAAGGTAATGTTATTGGTACTGGCATGCAGTTACGTGCATGTTTCACTGTGTATGCAGGCTTCTTATTAAAAGTATAATAAAACAACAAGAAAGCTTGCTGCTGAGATAAAATCTTCTTACCTTTCGTACCACCTGGGTAAAGTCGTTGCTGTCTCTGGCAGGGAGCCCTATCAGAGGTCGGGTGAAAGATGTCAAGGAAGAGCCATGGCCCACAATGAGGATGATACCTGATACACCAGAAAAAGCAAAGAAAAGTAAGGGTGCTTCAGCACTGTTATGTTGATAATGTGGAAGGGTGTACTGTGGTGGTCAGAAAAAGGCTGGTGTGTTGTAGGCAGGCCAGCTAGTGAGAAAGAATTTGCTAGGAAAAGAGAGAGAAAAAAAAAAGCTTTCCAGAAAAGTATATTATCTTATGCTGAGCTACATCCCCATGTAGAAATACCGATCAAAGAGTATACACTTGCAATTTAGTACTCTACTGTCTTCTGTTTAATTATGCTTTTTCATTTCTATCCCATAAATTACATGTATTTTAATTTAGTGTACCCCAGGACAAGGACTAAGAGCCTACTTTAAGCTCTGTGCAATACTAACAACTTAAATAAGTTTCTATTGGCAAATCTCTGCCAGTTCCTGTTACTGAAAGTGTCTGATAGAATATAAAAAGATCTGAAACCTTTACCTTTGCTGGGACAGGCAGTGATGATCTGTTTTATAACCGCAGAGCTTCTGCTTACATATTCTTCATAACTTTCTGATGGCACCAGAGAAGAGAGTGGGAAGTTACCCCTGACAATAAAATCACAAATATGTGTTAATCTAGATGAGTACTCAGACACTGCTAGCACTGCTGAATGACTACACCAGAGAAAAAGCACTTGGTTAAAAGGATATAGATTTATCTACTGACTTGGCTGACATACTGCTACCTCAGCTTGCATGGAGCATTAGCTTCTCCCACAGTAATTTCCATTAAATCTTATGGCTAAATCTCATAGCTCATAAAGCACCCAATGCAGGGAAAACCATGCTTTAATAAAACTTGTAGTTTACAGTGGAGATTGTTTAAAGGTCTCATGCCTAAGAAAAGCTTAAGCTTTGAGCAGTTCTGCCGACAAGGACCATTGCCCATCTATGGACTGCAGACTTGCAGAGCCACCCAGCTCTAGCAACTCTGACCAGGTTCAAATCAAGGCAAGGCAGTGATGATGTGAATGCTTCCAAGGTCTGGTGCCTCAGTCTTCTTAATAAACAAAGCAAATCAAATCAACAACAAACAAGGCATATCTACATTAGCTGGACAAATGGATAGTAAAGACATTCACTCCTAGAGTTAAAAAAATAAGTGTTACCGGAGACATGAATCACAATGCACTACTTCTAAGTATCTGGACACTTCTACTGAGACCAGGCATTCTTATTTCTTTTATATACTGGGGTTCTTTATGCACTGAATAAATATTTTCCCCAAAAAGTAAGAGCCAGACCTTCAGACTGCTGTGAATAAGGGCATCCCCACAGGACTGGTAGGGCTTGGGTTGATTGGTGCCGTGCACCCTGCACAGGCCCATCCCAAGGCTCCCCAGCAGCTCCCAGGACACCAGCTCTGTCCAGCCCTGGGAGGAGGGCTGGGGACTGCCCCAGCCCAGAGGCAGTGGGTAAAAGCATCCAGTTCCCTGACGTGTGCTGGCTGGCTGTGCCAAGGGCAGGCAGCTGGGAGCACCAAATTCCCAATGATGAGAGGCCCTGACAGCCTTCCCAGAGCTGCGGGACAGGCAAAATAGGCAACCGGATCACAGCCATTTGCTGCCTCTTGACAGGCTCCAATATCTACTCATTTAGCTGACGCCTGAATTAGGGCTACTTGGCAACAGAATAAAACCTCCCCAGACTCACTATTTTTCATGTCATCCTCTTAATCTGACTTCTCCAGGAATGGGAAGAGTTCACTGCTGCAGCTGGCAAATGGTTAGCCATGTGTTGTGATAAATACAGGGTGTTAATTTATTTTCTACTAACAACTGCCCCACTCATACCAATTTAATTGTCTCCTTATTCAGTGAATAAGAAAGAGTGAAATTAGATTAATATATTGTAGCAAGGTATATGGTATCACAATGTACTTTCACAGGTGAGTCCTCAGTACAGTATATCAGCACGAATGGCAAAAGTAGAAAATAGGTGGTAAAACCATGTGAAAGGCTCATGTTGTACTGTTAATCATAGCTAATATTAATCCTGGCTAAATTGAACAAGTCTAGAGTGGGGAACTCAAAACTAGTCTGCCTTTTGGCAGAACTGCAATTTTTTTAAAATGTGCTGTCCTTTTGGCACCTCAGCACCTTCAATATTAACCCTGTTATTAACCAGATATCCTGCAACAGAACTGAGCATCCCAAGCACTGGCCCGGGTGGTTTCCAGGCTAAATAGCAGCAGGGGTCCTCAGTCCAGGCTGAGGTCTTGGTGGGAGTGCTGTGTCCAGCTGTGAGTGCTACAGGGCAATTGAGATGAGGACCAACAAGTGAAAATCCAGAGAGGAGCAGTGAACAGGGGTTCAGAAAGAACACTCTATGAGAGACGATAGGAAGAGTTCAGCCCAGAGGAAAGGCTGAAGGAGGATGTGATAACGGTCTGCAAAAGGCTGTTGTGAAGAGGAAAGTAAGGGTTCTTCCTCCATGCAAAGGATGAAGAGGAAAGAAATAGGTGGATTACTTCGTGACTAGCAGTCTCTAACAGGAGGAATAGCAAAGGTGGGGTTTAGTCTGCTTTGGGACAGGGAACACCTGTCAACCCTCTGCTTCTGTGAGAGTGTGAGGGGAGAGAGAGGCAGAGTTAATCTCACCCAGCCTTAGCTGCCTACAACTCAAGTGTCTGGCTAGGTCAATGGAGACAAGTAAGCCCCTTCAGAGGGAAATTCATGTTATTTTGTGTCTGACATAGGCTATCTAAGATGGAAAATCACTATATTGGGAGTCCTCTTCTTTCCACCAACAAGAAGACTGCTAGCTAACCATCGCTGCCCAGGCACCCAGCTATTAGATGTCTGTGACTGGGTGCAGTGAACTTCAAGGTGATTTAATCTCAGCACACAAGGCATGGGCAGCAAATGTTTCAGCACGACTCATGTTGTTTCTTAGCGACACTGGAAACAGGAGAATTTGGGTCAGGTCCACTGCTTGCAAGGAACAGTAAGGGACTTAACCTAGTTGAAGGTTGTCATTTGCAGTGGGTGAATACAGTAAAACTATCCCCTGAGACCTGAGGATTTTGAATCCTGCATGTGACAGGAAGAAAGCAGCATCATATGTGCACACTTACAGCTCATCTGCCCTATTTTTGCATGGAGCTAAGTAAGTTGTGAGGGATCTGACCCCTGTATTAGCATTGCTTAAGAGATTCCCCTCTGAACTTCTCACTGCTCTGCATTTGCACACTTTCCTTTGAGGCAAGTGATTTTGTACTGAAAAAGCTAGGGAAAACAATCCATTGGTGGTAAAACATACCAGGAAGCACTATGATCCAAAGAAATGAAGGATTTTATTCCTTCATGCAATTTCAAATGAAGACACTTGCTTGGCTGTAACACATAAGAAGTTTCCTTTCCCCCTTTCTTGTATCTGTGGAAAACCCCAGAGACACTTTTATTAGCTGAGTAATTTCCTGGATCTGTCTGTGCACTGCGAACACAGAGCAGCCTGGTTTGTGAGCAAGATGGGGAGCTAGATTGAATTGGAGGTTTATCATTTCCTGCCCTGCTGTGGTTTGCAAGTGCTCAGAAAAGGCATCACCCCACCCCAAGCTCTGAGGGCCCCAAAAAGTCCTTGCTGAGCACAGTATTAATCTTTGAGCAACTCAA